CTGAACATGGGTTTTAAAACTATAATTCCAGAGCTCCATCCACAAAAACTTTGATTCAGTGGGTTTTGAGTGAGGCTGGGAAATGAATGTTTTTAAAATGATCCTGCAACAATTCTAATGAGCCACCAGGTTTGGAAACCTCTGGTGTAAAACCCTTTGTTTCCCTTTATCTCTCCCCTCCCTCCATCTTCATCTATAGAGAAAAGTAGAAAACCAGATGGGAAGAGAAAGTTAGAGATAACATATATGTGGCCCTAAAGATTGACCTGCCCCAGGTCTTAATGGTTTTCCAGTTTTCAATTCCAGTCTCTTATGAGCCTCAGCATTGCTTCTGCTTTTAGATTCATCTATTTAAGTATTCATTCAGGGCCGGCCGAGTGGCTCAGTTGGTTAAGAGCTCGCTCAAGTGTTTGAGCTCTAAGCAACAGCGGTTCGATGCCCGAGCTGAACAGCCGCTAAGCTGCCAACAGGTAGCAGGATGGCTCAGCTTAAAAAAAAAAAAATGTAATAAGTATTCATTCAGCAGTGTACCAGGCACTGAGGACAAAGCGGTGAGCCACCAAAGTCCCTGTGACAGCCCAGTGAAGGCAAATAAACACATAGGTGTTATGTCAGAGATGATAAATGCTACGTGGAAAAGTAAAGCAAGATAAAAGGATGGAGAGTGGCAAGGGGGATGAGAACTATTTTATAAGGGGTGGTCAGGAAAGGTCTATCTGAAATGAGTTCCATTAGAACCTCTTTATCCATGTAATAAATGTGCCTTGCCTGAAGCCATCTTGATTGAAGGTATCAGTAGGATTTCTTGATTGCAGGCAACAGAAATTGACTCATTATCTTAAGAAGAAAAAAAAAAGGAAATATGTCAGGGGTTCAGTGAGTCAATAAGAGGCTATAGAACCCATTTGAGATGATACATAGGCATTCAAGCATCGTTGAAGTGTTCGTTGGTCTAACTGTCTTTTGACAAGGATAGTCTGGCCAGAACACCTCCACCACTGCTATGTGACACTGCTAGCCTCTGCAGGTACATTTAATGAATCTTATTGATCTCTCCACCTTTGTATCATTTGCTTCAGGCTTACAGGCCCAGGTAGGAGAGGCTGAAGGGTCAA